CAAAACTATCTACGGGCAGTTTTGAATCTGTCGCGAGGTGATGAAATTGACCATGGCAACAACTTTGTCTGTAGCTAATTATAGCCTTCCGGAGACAAATTCTTGATTTCTGATATTTGTACGTTTATCGACCAAATATTGAATATCTAACCCAAACACCATTTATAACTAGGTATTACCTAAGTTTGAGCAAAATATAAAAGAAATCTATTTTTCATCTATTGCCACTGTTTGCTCGATTTTTACGGACAGTCGCTCTTAATACATAAACTTCAGCTTTGATTTTCTCGGCTTAGACAATGCATGTTTATTTTTAAATTACTTCGCCAATGAACTCATAAGATGGGTCGTTTTATAAGTACGATAAAACATTCGCATCTCGCCTTCGGCTCGAGTTTGTATATCAGATAAAAAATCTCTAGTACTTATGTTCCGTTAGTATGTGTGGTAAAATTATATTTCTGGAAATGTAAACAGCATACTAAAGTAATCAATTAAAATTCTGTAGTATATACAGACTATAAAACATTAAAAGTATAATAATACAGACCAGGCATGCACGATAAAGGGTGGATGTGGGGCCTATATATGGACCCCTTATAGTGTGCACACCCCTTATAGTGCTTTCTGGTCAGTTGTCATATCAACTTTGCACTATCCTTGGGATCTCTGAGTTTTCAAAACTGCACAATTGCCCCATTTCTGGAATAAAATGGCTTCTTTCTCGAATGAAAGGCCTGTTCTAACGATTGACCATATCAATGTAGTTATAACTATTAGAATAGTATAAATAATTATGTCGGAAATATAGGTCGTATAGCAGCCTGGCCTCCATCAAATTGAGTGGTTAGAGGAAAAAAATTAATTGAAGATTTTGAGACCGTTAAAGAATTATACTTAGCTTCTATGTTACTGTAAATTGTTTTCCTGAAAAGAAAACCGAATTAGAAACAAATACTCAAGTTTGGTTTCGAGGGTCAAAAGTCGAGGTCGAGTGTCGAAAGTCGAGGTCGAGGGTCGACAATCGAGGACCGAAAATGGAAAATATTACTTTTTCTATTAAAGTGGCACTATCATTATTTTTTTTATAATCCAGAAATGTAACGTATTCTTGATATTCTAATCAAAATTCAAGGCAAAATTCTTTCATCTTCCTGACCTTTTTACGATTCTTATTTGCCAATTTTACAGCCACCATTAAACGCACGCAATTAAGCGAGAAGGCGTTTTGAAGAGGATGTGACGTCATTCACTCAACACGCCGAATGTTTTTGTATCTGCGAAGCAGATATATTGCCATCGTGCGCGTACCGGAAATTTGTAAGCGTGCTCATAGCCAATCAACGACAGCTTATAGATGAAATGACGTAATGATACTAATTTCAAAATGGCGGCTTACTAAAGGGTGAAACAAAAGGCGATTTGTGAATTTACGATTAAAATTATACATAAAATGCAGTTTAAAACAACGTCATTTTACTAGTCTGAATATGGCAATTGTCGATATAGTGCATTTTTGGCAAGCATTTGAAAGGTTTCATCATTTAATACGCAGTGGAAACGAAATGATTTGCAATTTTGGACAAGAAAATTATTGACTAATGGCATTGAGAATACTATTATGAAATTATGAAAGTAATGATTCTTCCACATGTTGCCGTTGTTGGTGTATATCGAGTTGTAAGTGTTGATGTTGATGTTTATGTACTTTTCAATTTAACATTTTCATTGGTGACTTAGTTAATATAAATTAGTTGAATGAAACCAATAGAAGGCTATATAATTTCGTAAGGTTACATAATTTCTTTATCAATGATTATAACTATAGACAATTGGTGTCTGCTTTCATTACAGACTTTGATAGATCATTTTCATACAAATTTAGCAGAGTCAGAAGTTAAGTCACACATATTGGAAACATTTCTCTTAAAGCACTTTATAGCAGTGTGTGCATTGAATAATTGCTTTCATTAAAGCAAAGGCAAAGTAATAGTGGCTGCATAAAGAGCAGAGATTCAGTTTTAGATTGGAATATCAATACTTATAGTAACAGTTGCAACCAGTCATAATTATTAACTATATATCCTGGATGGGGTGCTCCTTTCTTCATCCACCCTGATTTCTGCAACTGAATGTCATTGCCAAGAACACCAGTTAAGCAATTTATATCCCCCTTCACCTATCCCATACTATATTGTCTTATAATCAACAACAACCATATGTCATAATGGGATCTTATTTAATATAGCACACAATGTACAAAACTAACATAATATTCTGTTTAGTGGATTTTCTTCCACGACAAAATATTATTGCATGGATCTGGTATGCTGAATTATATCATTCTATTCAAGAACTATATGCATCGATTATACTTCTAATTTCCATACTTGTCATCATTTGTTGCTGATGAATGACTTTCAATATATGACCTATTTGATAATATTTACTAGGCATAAACAGTTGATTTGTGTGCCATGAACCCTGACTATGACATTTTCTAAAATGAAATAAATCAATTATAAACAGCAGAAATATTGATTTTATGTATCAATTATGGTATAAAAAGGCTTTCGAAACTCTGCAAATGTATATTGGCACCACCTGTTAACCTGACAACTTCTAAGCATCTACAACGTTCTCGCATGCCTGCTAAAGTTTATTATGAGTTATCAAGAAGATTTGGAACACGAAATGTTTTAACAAGAACACAGAGATGGATTTACTGGGGGGATGTGGGGTGTGCACCCCCCCCCCCCTTAGCCTTGGCCAGAGGGGGTGCGGGAGGGGTGTCCTATTTTTCATAATAAGCAAAAATTATTAGAAACAAAATGAGATACAGAAATTTGAGTAATAATATGATGATAGGCAAACTGTGAACAACAATTACAATTCAAATACTGTAGTCAAGCAAGACTTTGCAATAGTGAAGCAAGTTGATGGGTGGGTGGCACACATGACCGACACAACTCGGCACCAGAGCGGGCAGAGTACCCCCCCCCTTTATCAGATCATGCTGGATCCATCCCTGCAAGAACATTATAAAATTAAGATGATTCAACAAGAACATCATAAAATTGAATATCATCTTTGTGACGTTATGGCCGGAATTAGTTTCTGCAAGTTGAATATATATCAGCCATTTTATTTTTCTTTCATCTGACCTACTATAAATCTAACTTTATTTAACTGGTCAACTGTTAAACATCAGTCCCTTAAATTTTTTTACAAGCTATTGAGTGTTGATTGAAGCCTTGGCAAAAGTGAAATCACCATGAGCAGATACATGTACGCTTAGCGTACCTATTTTTATTGTATTTCACTGCTATTTCAACAATGATGTTTTCTGACAAAGGAGATTCAGAAACTTCAGAAAGTGAACATTTGCATGGGAGGAAAGCGAGCTCTGATGAAGAAACGTATACGGTAACTCAAATTCAAGCGAAAATAGTGATGAAAAGAAGAAATCAAACCTAGAATTGTTGTTTGTTGACAATAAATGGCTATCTTTGTTTGTTGTTGAAAACATGACCTTTGGCCTGCCTTTCGGTCACTATTAATAGTGTAACAACAGTTGATTGGCTTCCTTGTTTTTACAAACTTACTTTTGAAGTTGAAAGTAGGCCTTGTAAGTTATAGCTATAAATAATATTTCAACGCTTGCGTGTCTATTGGCCTATTTCGCTTTTCGCCTAATAGTATGAACGTTCCCCTCTCGAAAGAACATGGTTTGTTCACCATTTGGGCAATTCCCGTGACACACAACGAACTTTGTTTTGTTGGGGATTGCCTCCGTTGTTTCACCCAACAATTCACAAAAGTCCAAGATTGAATAATAAAGTTTAATAAAATCACAATTCACAGTCACTTCATCATAAGCTCGTCTTTACATCTATATTATTGTGTATATCACTTACTGTAATTTCCCTGTTGCTAATTCACTTAGGTTCTATTCACTCGCAGTTTTACCAAGGACACGCTCTCGAAGAAGAGCCAACCCCAGTCGTCTCTGTGTTTCAATCGCGTACGGAAGCAGGAAAAGTAGCAAGGGCATGTAGGCGGTGAGCACACGCGCAGGAAAGGGGGAATCCGCCTGCATATTTCCTGCTTCCACCCGCCATCTTTGCTGCTTCCTCCCGCGCTTTAAACTGAGTAACACAGAGACGACTGGGGACGAGTCAACTATTAAGTGATGTGACATTTATTGCTCTGCAACGATTCTGAGGAGAGATATTGGACTCGATGTCAGAGAGTATATCAGATAAGTCGTTAGCCTTCTACTTCTTTTACCCTATGTCGTTCTGTGTCAGTATTGACGACCGTTCAAGTACGACGAAAACGTAAAGCAATCGCATCAATTAGACTCAGAAAGACAACAAATGCATTCTATTAACAAGTTAGATATATTTTTACGTACATATATTGTTAATATTTTTTGAATTATTTCGTTATTAAATACTATAACGGTTAAATATTCTGTACAAATATTCAAAACATATAGACCATTCAGAGATTGGGGCGCTGTGGTTAAACATACAGAAATAGGCCAATATACACGCATGCGTTGAAATATTATTTATAGCTATAACTTACAAGGCTTACTTTCAACTTCAAAAGTAAGTTTGTAAAAACAAGGAAGCCAATCAACACTGTTGTTGTTACACTATTAATAGTGAGCGAAAGCCGGCCAACAGTCATGTTTTCAACAAACAACAATTCTAGATTCGGTTTCTTCTTTTCATCACTATTTTCGCTTGAATATGAGTTACCGTATACGTTTCTTCATCACAGCTCACTTTGCCCCCATGCGAATGTTCACTTTCTGAAGTTTCTGAAACTTCTTTGTCAGAAAAAATCATTGTTGAAATAGTAGTGAAATACAATAAAAACATTCGGCGTGTTGAGTGAATGACGTCACATCCTCTTCAAAGCACCTTCTCGCTTAATTGCGTGCGTTTAATGGCGGTCGTAAAATTGGCAAATAAGAATCGTAAGTCATGAAGATGAAATAATTTTGCCTTGAATTTTGATTAGAATATCAAGAATACGTTACATTTCTGGATTATAAAGAAAAAAGATTTAATGATAGTGCCACTTTAATTCATTTCCAGAATAAAACTAATTTTATGAAAAGATCCTTTTCATACCGAGAAGCTTGTGCCTGGAACAACTTACCCATTGGCATCGTGAACGGGTATGAGCAACTTTCAACAATTCACTGATTTTAAAATTTTAATCGACAACTGTTTTTCTATAGATTAAAAGACTGTTGATAATGCTCACAAGTATTGCAACATGATTTATCAATATTGTTTTATTTAACACGACTTATTTGTGTAAATATATATTAATATTTTATAGGTTTATATAAAACGATCCCTTGAAAAGCAGCAATAGCTGGAGGGCTATCGTTTCCAAATAACTTTTATAAATAAATAAATAGATAAATAAATAAATAACAGACGTTAGTCTCGACAAAGCGCGCGAGAGAACCTGTGAAATACAAAACAATGGAAACTCCGAAGAAATATTAAATGTTATTTCTTCGGAGTTTCCATTTTTTTGTATTTTATTAGAATACTCAGTGGTTATCGAAAATTTTAGAACCTGTGAGTTCCACAGATTTGTGGAAAGGCCTCTGATTTGACGGTGCTTTATTTGAATAATATATGACACTTGAAGATATTTCATTGATAAATTGATAATTAGCATGGGTTTAAAATAACAACACAGAAATTTTTAATTCAGAGATTTCCCTCTGGAGATTTCCTCAAGAATCAAGATTTCCTTTGGGCACACGTTGGGGGCATAAAAAGGTTTGAAAGACTTGAAATATAATCTGTTGCGTTAACGAAATCAAGATAAAATTCTAGCGTTTGGACACTCAGCGAACATTGCTGACAAATATATAAAATACAACAAACTATCGGACGGAAATTGACAATTTATAATTGACAATTAAATTGACAATCTGCATGTTTATGTCCCGACCGACCGCGACAAAGCATTTTCTTTAATGTGTTTAACTTCGTCTTACTTGGCCAGTTAACTTTTAATTACTTTAAAATGCACCTTTTCAATATTAACCAGTTGTGTTTATATTTAAGAGTGAATGTCAGTAAAAATCGAACATATGAGACATTTCGCGGCCACGACTGAAAAATCGATTTTGCTCAAATTTTGCCCAGATATACCTTATTATATCGGAAAATGCACCATATATTTTTTTAGGTCAAATGCTTTTTTAACTTTGAGAAAATGCCGTTTTAACACGACCACCCTAAATCGCCATTTTTTCTGGGGAAATATGCGCTGATTTTACAGATAAATTTCACGACGACAACCGTTTCTAATCGATCTAAAACCCTAAAAATCTTGTTTTCGGTTATTCAAAGGACTGTGTACATGACTTACAGGAAATCTGAGTTACTTTTAGGAATAGAAATAAGCGTAGTTTTGGAGCACACTATCTTACTTCATTTACGATACCCTCTTAACAAAATCGATTTTCACCATGCGATAAAGCTCCAAATCGATCATGTTTCTACTAGTTGGCTCTTTAATAAGCAAGCTTTCAATTGACGTAAATACTTCTTTTGGCAAATGAATACGCGATAAACGACAGCGCGTTGAAATCTTCCGTTTTTGACGTCTTGCAAGTCAAACGCTGTTAATTTACATACCGTCGAAGTAAACAATTTAATCAAGTATTTTAAGTATTTTACCTTTTGAGAAGAAGATATATTCTTGAATGGAGACTTTTTGCCTTGCTTAGTTTAAAATTGGTCCAAAAATCCCGAGATATTTGTAAAATATCATCATATACAGGTATTTTGAAATATAATATTGTTGTCAGTTGCGTGACAACTTCAGATCATTGTTCAATATTGTCTACTTTTAATAGCGCAAACATACAAATCGATAAGCTGTTTAGTGATTTTATATTTGTTACTAATTTTCCCAAAATTAGAACTTCAATTGACAATTGTTGTTTTGTTCCAGTTTGCATTGATCCATATAATGTACCATTTAGTATTTACATATCGACTATCGAGTATAAATGTTTACGAATACATAAGTTAATTATTAAGCAGCTGTTAATAGCGTGCGTGTGAAATGAACATTTATCCATACAAGGATTTGTTATTTTATTATATATTCCAGATCATTCTACCACCTCAAACTCAAATTATAGGCATATAGCAAATACTGTAGTTTAGAATAATGTGTGTTTACTTTGATGCACAGTTAAAATAATCAGTAAAATTACTTTATTTTGATACACTAATGTCTATTGATCTTATTATATTTCACAAGTACTAGTACCCAAAAATACAGCATTAAGTATTTTGGCCCAGTGCGACATCACAAATTATTATTGTCTCCCCATACGTCGCGTTTAAAGAAAATGAAAGCTTGTTGCTCGTTTAACGCCGGATTAACCACGTGCCAAATACGGCAAATGCCATGGGCCTCGCGCTTTAATACTGTGCTACGCCCATTTTTACGAGAACACGGCCATTTTCTATTGGGATACACCCATTTTAGGTGCCTCGCGAATTTAGGGACTTCGCGCATTTAGGGCCCCTAGGCTTGGCAGTTCGCCCTAGCACGGTCCCGGGAAAATATGCAATACTCGTGTTCATATAATCTTTAGTTGCGCTGAGCTGTTATATTATGATCCTGTTTATACCCACCAACTGCGCCAGGCAGGCCATTATCTCGTTTATAATTGATGCAAATAAATTGAAATATTGAAAAAAATTATTTAACACTTTTGTGTGTCTTTAAATTCACTGGTTTTCATAAAAAGAAGAAAGGGGGAGGTTTGGGGGCCTCGCGCTAAAATTTGCCACGGGCCTCGCGCGACGTTAATCCGGCCCTGGTCACTTGTCGGTAGTTCTTGCGGTTTTAATGCCAATTGACAAAGATCAAAAAGAGCCTGATGACTCCCCCCGTCGGAGAAATACTGGCGCAGCCCAAACCAGCTCAGTGAAATATGGGGCCCCAGGGCCAATTATACCCTTGGGGCCCCGGTGAACCACAATTACCCCCCTCCGTCGACAAACTTTTTATCGCCTTGCAAATTTGTATTTGCCTGTCTTCCTTGAGCTGGGGTCGCGGAGAAAATTGTTCCCTTTGCCGCCTCCCTGCATGGGCCGCCCTGGCGCCGCCCTTGTCTTATCATAACTATCTACCCTAATTCAAGCTGATTGGCGCGGCTCGATGAAATAATTGCCGCTTTCAAACAGAGGTTTATTATTTTAAACCTCTAGAACCAGAGTACCTTTTGTCACTCTGAGGCCAGCGAAATAACCTCTTCCGTAACATGCACGTACGCGTCTACTATCGTCAAGAAACAATCAATACGTATAATCGTTGTGGTCTGTGGGATTTTAATTCAATAGTGTAAACCTTGCAGTTTTAGGGAAGCCTCACATATCGATTTTTCCACAAGAAACGTCATATGTTCGTTTTGGGGGTGGGGGAGGGGGGTTTACAGCTGTGACGTTTCTCTGTAAATATCATGGAAAAGTTCGATAGTTTTTTCGAATACCTTAACATTTCGGAATCAACTTTGCAGAGTATAAAAAGAAAAGAACTTGAAAGAAAACGACTATTCAAATATAAGGGCTGGTAAACTAAAAATAAAAACTCCTTATTTGGATAAACATTATAAACATTCATTTCACATGTACACGCACGCTAACAGCTGCTTAATAATTAACTTACGTATTTGTAAACATCAGTCGATAAATAAAATGGTACATTAATATGGACAAAATGGATCAAAACCTCTGAAAACAGCAGTTGTAGTTCCAATTCTTTTGGGGAATTTAGTAGCAAATATAATCCTTAAATAGCTCATCGATTTGTATATGTTAGCGCTATTAAAAGTCAAACGGCCGGGTCGGCGGGTCGTAGATCACGTTGAATAATGATCTGAAGTTATCATGCATCCGTCAACAATGTCTCAAAATACTGGATGTTTGATGATTTTTTTACAAATATACTGGGATTTCTGGACCACTTTTAAACTTAGCAAAGTGAAAAGTCCCCATTCAAGAATATGTTTTTTCTCAAAAGGTAAAATACTTAGAATACTTGATTAAATTGTTTACTTCGACGGTGTATAAATTAACAGCGTTTGACTTGCAAGACGTCAAAAACGAAAGATTTCAACGCGCTGTCGTTTATCGCGTATTCATTTGCCAAGTATTTACAAGAAGTATTTACGTCAATTGAAAGCTTTTTTATTCAAGAGCCAACTAGTAGAAGCATGATCGATTTGGAGCTTTATCGCATGGTGAAAATCGATTTTGTTAAGAGGGTATCGCAAATGAAGTAAGATAGTGTGCTCCAAAACTACGATTATTTCTATTCCTAAAAGTAACTCAGATTTCCTGTAAGTCATGTGCACAGTCCTTTGAATAACCAAAAACAAGATTTTTAGGGTTTTAGATCGATTAGAAACGGTTGTCGTCGTGAAATTTATCTGTAAAATCAGCGCATATTTCCCCCCAAAAAATGGCGATTTAGGGTGGTCATGTTAAAACGGCATTTTCTCAAAGTTAAAAAAGCATTTGAGCTAAAAAAATATATGGTGCATTTTCCGATATAATAAGGTATATCTGGGCAAAATTTGAGCAAAATCGATTTTTCAGTCGTGGCCGCTTTATGTTTGATTTTTGTGGACATCCTCTCTTAATACTTTGTCTTTGTAAACAACTATATACGCCATATGTACGCCAAGAACTGAGCTTGTACACCGGACTTGCCGGACTTGCCTTGTATCACCGTTCAGCATTATTCGCATTCAAAACAAATCTTTTCATCGAGAAATATTTGCAATATATTTCTGGTGTATCGTTTTTCAGATTATATTTCAAGTCTTTCAAAAATTTGTATGCCCCGAAAGAAATCTTGATTCTTGAGGAAATCTCTGAATTGAAAATTTTTGTGTTGTTATTTTAAACGCATGCTTTTATCAATTAACCAATGAAATACCTTAATTTGTCACATATTTTCAAATAAAGCACTGTCCAATCAGAGGCCTTTCCACAAGGCATTAAGTCAGGTCTTAAAATATACTCGTTTGGACTACAAACCCTAACATTCTAATATTAATTCCACCAAGTGAAGTGCACGAAACCAAATCACTGAAGCATGCAAATAGCTGATTTTTAAGAAAAAAATGTAAGTTTGCGTGAATAGAAAGGGGCTTAAACTAAGCCAAATTGTCTGAAATTTTGTACAGTAATTGAAAACCCAACATATTTTCAAGCTATTGACTCAAAATATGAATAAGGCTTTTAAACTTCGTGCGGAAGCCATTTACAGTTTGTTGGAAAAGACACCTCCCCTGGTTCACAAAATTTGAGTTCCAGAATTTTTTTTTCATTATTCTACATTATAAGTAACCAAAGAAGGTATATACATAAAAAACTGGATATTAATAGCTGTTTTGCGAAATTGAGAGCAATTTCATATCTGTTCAGGTTTTTTTATACGCCCTGTATAGTGGTGTCTGCTAATTCGTTGTTGTATCCATAGGTATCCTGATTACCGTGGTTACTTGTACATAAATGACGACATGATTGTGAACTGGTGGACATTCCACAAGCTTGATAAGGAGAAATTTTGGTTGGGTGCGAAATTTGTGGTACATGGAGTTCATACCATGTGGAAACGACCAATAATAACCGGATGGGTTTGGTGGAGCATGAAGAGTAATTCTGCAAAGGCTTGTGAAGACTCTTACTCAGAAATCATTAAACAATATCGCTCAAGTAAATATATAAATGTCACGAAATTGATAGAAACTCATCTTGCAAATGGCGAAGGAGTAAAGCGTTGTTTTAATACGTGGTCAGATCTATTTTATGTACCCAAGAAGTTCAGTGATCAGTGGCAGCGGATCTCTACTGTGTTTCATAAAAATCAAGTATTTTTGGAAGTTTCAGTGCCGACCATTATAAGTTTCATAGACTTACAAAGTTCATGGGAATTTCATTTGGGGCTGTATCTACCGGACAAGTATGGCTGGCGTAGGTTTGATGATGGAAAATTAGTTTGGGAAAATTATAATTATACTATTAAATTTATGCATCCTGTTAAATATCATACGGTCGTATCCAAAATTAACGTAGAAAAGTTAAAGAATGACGTAATTCCTTATTCTAAACGGTTCTTAAAATGTTAGAAATATTTTAAAGAGAAGGTCGAGACTTTTGGGCATTTTGTTCAATGAAAATTACTGTAGACATACATACATACATACATACATAAACTTTATTTATATTCGAATTTGTGAGTAGCTTACATAGCTAATTTCTCCGAGTAACTAAGTATAATGAATTAATATATAAATAAATACTAATACTAATACTAAATAGAAAGTATATATAAAAAAGAATTTAATGTGAAGGTTCATAACGTAGAATACGTCGTTTAAAGTCAAGAAAGTTGGTCATTCTATAACAGTCTGGAAGAGAATTCCATAATTTCGCTGCCAAATAGGAAAAGGAATGTAAACCATAGGTCGTTGTCTTCGAATGAGGTAGCGATAAGATGTAGTTACCACGTAAACCATATAGTGTATCCCGTAGTTTGAACATATTTCTAATATATCCTGGATAATTAGGAATATACAAACTTTTGTATAATATGATCAAAAATTTCTGTAAGCGTTTAGTATATAAATATTTTAAACCAACTTTACTAAGCAAGATACTGTACGAAGAAGTATTGTCTCGCAATATAAATCTAAGAATGCGCTTATTCAGAGCGTCTATTTTGTCTGTATTACGTGCACCGCAAAAGTGCCATATATACCGATGAACAATAGTCAAAGTTCGGCAGAATAAATGCTTTATACAGCTTTAAAAGAGTATCTTTTGAACTCAAATTCCGAAATCTTAGCATGACATTGAACTGTTTGTTGATCTTTTTACAAACGGTTGTGATATGATTATTGAAATTTAGTTTATTATCAATGTCCATACCAAACATATCTATTGATTCTTTTACGGCTGGGAAAGAGAAGCAATAATCAATTTTGCCAAGAATTAGTGCTTGATGCTTGGTCTCATTTACAATCATTCCATTATTATGATACCACTGATTTGCAACTTCGACTTCATCACATACACATTTTTCTAAAGCTACAGGATCAATATCAGAATGGTATATTTGATGATCATCTGCATAAGCATTTAGTTTGGCTTGTGTGACATGGTAAAACAAGTCATTAATAAATATATTAAAAAATGTAGGCCCCAAAACACTTCCCTGAAGGACTCCACGTCTGACATCTGCCCAAGCAGAGACAGTGTCGCCAATCTTAACCCTTTGTTGTCTTCCAGATAAATAGTCCCTGAGCAGCGCACAACTCCTCTCTTCTACACCATAGGCCTTGAGCTTGGCCAGAAGTAGGTCATGTTGAATCACATCAAACGCTTTCGAGAGGTCCATAGCAACTACCAGACTCGTCCCCAGTCGTTATTTGAATTTCAATTTTATAGGGACGAATAGGTATATATCCATATATATATATATATATATATATAGATCAGTACCAAATGTGGACGCGCGCAAGGGGAAAAGGGAAGGCGAGGGAAAAAATAACGACTGGCAGATTACAGAGACAAAATGACGGACAATTTGACAGCAAAAGAGGAAAGACTATTTTAATATACACCACAGAGCGTTTTTAGCTGATAAACTCCCTTGTCCGCATGAGGAATGTCAGTATAATTTATCTTGCTATGATCAAGATGGTTTAGACCACCATTACAAGCAATCCATAAATGTCCTGTAACCTGTTATTTCAGGCTTTCAGCTGACTGAGAGAAGCACTCAATGACTCAAAGGAAACACTGTTATGTTTGGAAAAGCTATCGATTAACAACCAATCGAAGGTATTCGTAAATCTTGAGTGTTGAATGCCTTTAATATTTGGAGCCAGCGAGCAATATAAAAACAGGTAGGTATTTTATTCAATTTTATTTATGCGTTTATATCTTTATATTTCACGATGAAATGCACTCTTAAACTCTTTGGATTATAAAGAAAACAGCTTTTTGCTGGGTTTTTTTTTTGCAACCTGTGTATTTCACAATTTGGTTGCCGAAACTACAAATTTTTGTTATTTATAAATTACTTTATAAAGTGCTATTAACTCCACGTTTTGTGTAATATGATTATTTGCCAACTTAAAACTTTGCATACAAGGCTATTAAATCAATGACAAGACTTTTGGAGCATTCAAATATTTCCCAAAATACCTGTAAATAACAAAATATACCCCCCCCCCCTAACTAAATGTTACTGTATGATGAAAAGACGTTACATTGGCCATTAACAACACATTGTTGGGGGCCCGGGGGGCACAGGGTTGTAGGGATAATATAGAAGCTCAGGTGGCACATAACTCCTATCATAGCCTTAATTAAACAATTTGGAAAACCAGAAATACTGTATCAATGCACTGGGGGCAATCTGGCAATTACTTCTAACTATGTTCTGACAATAATTGCACTCATAGTCCTTGAAATGATAAGGTAATTTCTACCTTGTATCATGGCCAACGTTTAGGGCCACTTTCAGTGCCTTAGCAAGCTCGATAATTGGGGGAGGCTCATATTCATATTTTCGTGTTCTGCGTTATTAATTTCTTTTGAAATTGATTGTTTTTATGGACTGTGAATATGAATATATGAATATGAGCCCTCCCTCCCATTATCGAACTTACTACGGCACTGACTTTTGATTGTTATACCATTAAGTCTGATAATTGCACCACCAATGGTTCTGGTATCTCTTGTTTTTCCCATCATCATTTCTGTACTCAACTTTACAACATATAATATATTCTTGTTTATTCCAGAATTATTTTACAATTGGAACACCATTTATCACACAATTGGAAATTTGTCCCGACTCACCCTGGTTTCCCAATTAAGCCCTAGAGTGACAGCACTCTCCCCTGATGAGTAAATTGTCTGGTGTTAGACAGAGTAAAATAATAATGTAGGGCATATCAGGGTGCATTGCCACTTAAAGGGTTAATCTTGATCTGGGTGGAAAAATACTGCAGTACCAAGCAAGATGTATGGAAATTGAAGACACAAAAGCTGGATTAATTTTGAACCATTTTAATTGGACTTCTTCAATGGAATTATTAACAGTGAATAATTTTAAATTAATTTAAAATTAAAATGTATTATAATTACAGTTAGTGTACATGATGTAGTGGAGCAGCATGTCTATTATATTAACTTAATAAAGCTTTATACTTTCATATGTTATCTGCATGGTGGGGGGTGGGTGGTTGTGCAGAAAAATTCAGGGGTGGAAGGTGAGTGAGGGGCACGTAGACACAGAATAAGGCACACAGAAGGTTGACTTGAGTAACCGTTGCCACGCCATGATTCATCAAAATGCTGATGCCATGGTCCTAGCCAGTGCGCGTTTAATAGGGATTCCCCCCTGGACGTTCACCATTTTGAATAATATCAGGGGAGTGAATGCCTCTCAAACGTGCACTGCCTAGGACCATGACATCAGCATTTGATTACGGGTTACGCCAAGAAGTCGACCTTCTGTGTACCTTATTCTGTGACGTAGCATCCTGAGGAAGATTAACCAAAACACAATATACCAGACAAATATAAAAATATTATGTCATTTGTAATACAATGTAATGAATTGGATTGATCATGTATTGCATATGCACATCAGCTTTTACACATGTAAAAAGAATATATATATTTGTTTATGTTCGCACAACACCCTTTTCACAGTTAGGAAATATGGCTGCCAAAGCTCTTGAAAGGTGGCTTTTTACACTAAGATCATCAGTAACAACATCCTCTTGTTTAAGGCCTCAACCCATCTGTTTTGATGCATATATTCTTTAAAGAGCCCTGAAGATCTCCAGGAACAAATGTGCTAACATCACCTGCACATTCAAACAAGTGACTTATTAAAAATACAAGTTCCAACCTTGAACAACTTTCCTGCATTTAGTTCTTGGTAATCCCGGACTCTTAGAATCTGGTGTTAGGTCGTGTTTGACGTCAAATGGCAGTAACTTTCTCGTTTTAGGAGTTCTAGGAGTGCTGGTCTTAGGACATTCATCTGAATTTATGGAATTGAAGTCTATAGTTCAGAACGACAAAAATTACAACTTGAAACAAGGCAACATGGCGCTAATCAGCCGAGCGTATAATGAATTCCAGTTTCTTAATTTCTTTAGTATACGCAAAGGGTCAACAAATTCAAGACATTCAAGTGGTAGAATGTATTATATTATCTTTTAGACTCATCATCTAAGTTCATCAAAGTCCGCCATTTTGAAGTACTGCAGACTTGACCAATTGAAGGCCGATATACTTGATAAAAATACGCACTTTGCAGAGACTACATCATAAAATGATCGATTTATGTATACCAATGTCAAAAAATCCAAAATTGAAGCATAAAATATTAGTTTGCAAGAAAACCAATTTCTTGCAAGAAAAATCACAGTAATCTGCCAGTCGCTAAATTTTCTTCTTTCGCCCTTGCCGTGAGCCTCTACGCGCCCACTTCTGGCCGCGCGCTCGCTCTTAAAGCGACTGGGGACGAGTCTGAGCAACTACAGCAACTAATTCCCCATTATCGCGCATTTTCCGCCAATCCTCAGTCAACCGTAATAGAGCTGTCTCACAACTAAAACATTTACGATAAGAGCTGATATAATCAGATAAAATCGCTGTACAAAATTCATCCATTTGAGCGGCTAATAACCTCTCATATATATTATTTAACACGGGTAAGACTGTCACAGGTCTATAGTTGGCTTTGCTAAATTCGTCATCTTTTTTGAATAAAGGCGTTAATTGCCCTTTTTTCCAAGCACTCGGATAACAGTTCTGGTTAATGGAGGCATTCAAAATGTTGGCAATTGGCGTAGCAATTATACCTGCTGATTCTTTAATTAGCTTCGGCGATAACATGTCATAACCACGCGATTTTCTAACATTTATTGCAGAAAGTAGGTTTTTTACCTCACCTTCATTTGTGTGATGAAATTCAAAACAGAAAGGCATGCCCGATTATCTAATATGCTGATGAATGGCTTTAATGCTTGGATGGTCTTCGAAGTCTTTACCGTAATCTCTTTCGCTAATAAGTCCAACATCATCGGCAACTTTAAGAAAATTTTCATTGAACAGTTCGGCAATTTCACCTTTTTCACTTATCACTACACCATTGTCTTTAAGAACAATATCATTAGCTTGTTTTGATTTACTGTGCAAAAATGGACGATATGCATTCCAAAACTCTCGTGGGTTTTCAGGTTCTGTCGATTTTTTCAAAAAATATTCTTTTATTGCCATTCGTCTTAAGGAGGTACATTTGTTACGCTGAATTTTATACTGATCATAATTTCAATTTGTGCGATCCCTTCTGAATTTTTTCCATAATTTATTTCTATGCCTTATTTCCTTACGCCATTCCTCAGTCATATATGGTACCTGATTTCCCCTAATGACTGCATGTCTGTTTCAAAGGGGCATGCTCATTTAGGATTTCAACATACAATTGTTCAAATGCGTAAAACATATCATCCACATCATCGAATATAGCCATTATATGAAAAGGCGCCCTATGCAAATCTTGCACAAACTTTAAACCATTGAGCTGGTTTGCTCTAACAAAGCAAATATCGCTCCTAACGTAAATGATAAGCCCTCCCCCACCGGCCTTTCTATCGCTGCGACAAAAGCGGTAGCCATCAACTCGAAAGTGACTATCAGGAAAACTTGCATCAATCTTGGTTTCAGAAATAACAAGCACATCAAATCTTCCTGAAAGTAGCCATGTTTTTATTTCGAAAAATTTGAAACCGCCAATACTATTTGCATTTAAATGACCGGTTTTAACGTTTTTTGGATTGCCTTCAATAATATTGTCGTAATCAGCCCAAACTGATGCAATGTCTTGCTTGTCTGAGGCTGAGTCATCACTAGAACCATTACTAGAATTTAGGCTTGTATTAGCAAAGGGAAACTCCTTTAGTATTTCAAAGCATGACCGGCAAGTGTGTGAAATATTACCAGATAATTTCATTTGCCGATACTGTTTTGGTGGCATCTCTCCACATTTGATGTGAGTCCACATAGAGCAGCCATCACACTTTGTCGCTCGATGATTTTTAGCAACAACTCGGTCGCATTCTGTACATGTTCTGGTAGATTTAGGTCCAGGATTAGGACTGATGTCACCACACATACGAAGATATTCAATATTAAATGTTGCCGAGCAGTTACTGTAGAACGGAACTCTCGACTTAGTATATCCAGCTCGACTTCTTGTTGGCATTAAATTTCGACTAATACTAATAGCACCGCTAGAAATCCATGGTTGTACTGTTTTTCCAACAAATAACCACTTGCCAGACTTTATACAAGTATTGCAGTATTTATCGGATCCAAAAGCACACGAAAGAACACAAAACAACACTATATTCAAGCCAACACCAAGCATGACTAACCGCCAATTTGTTTATATAGTTTATCCTGATTTTTCCTGCATGACATGTTACGCTTCACCAAAACCTACCATCCTACTGAACCACTATATATTCTCCCCTTATTGGAAGCATTGCTTATAAGTTGAATATTTTCCCCGTGTCCGAAATATATCAGAACTTTCTCTAAAATATCAGATTTATAGGATCTCAAATATCAGATCTTTTTCTTGTAGAATGATGGAATGTTCGAACGCAAATGTATAAATCATATGTTTTTAATCCCAACCAGGAGCAAATACGTACAAAAAGATGCTCTGACACACTGATTTTGGTCACCAAATCTTTCAGCATCGCGTTTGAAAACGAACCGTGGTTAAATACTGATCGTAATACAAGCCACAGATTCATGAAATTAGAAACGTGTTATGTTAAACCAAAATGTTCAAGCCTGTAATTGTTTATGCATCAATTAGAAGATCTTGGTTAACATATATCACGTTTCTATTTTCATGATTTATGAATTTGTTGTGTAGACTATGATATATTTAATAATTAACCTCGGTTCGTCTTCAAAATTCAAACGCCCATGTTGAAAGATTTAGTGGCCAAAATCAGTGTGTCGCAGCATCTTTTTGTATCGTATTTTACAAATTGAAGCCTCAGAGGTGCCAACGCCGTCAAACTGCTATATTATAATTAGTTGATCATTGCATTAATTGCAATGAATACATAATTCGGTGGCGCAGTCGTCAAAGTAAGCGGCTTTCACCTCTGAGTTCGTGTGTTCGATTCTCGCTACGGACTCATATGAAAAGAGTCAGTCGAAAGTCGTGGTTTTGCTCCGGTTTCTTCCCACGGAGAAAGTTGACTGGGTGGGTTATATAGGATCAACACAGTTAGAGGAGTAATATCACAATTTATTTATGTGTTTATTTATTTATTTATTTATTTGGCTTTGCCAACTAGAGCAGGGTACCCACAACAGCATACGTAACCCATCCTGTCAACTTTCACTGTGGGAGAAAACCGGAGTACCCGGAGAAAGCCCACGACGTTTGGCAGAGCGTTGACTTTTACTCTTTTCACACGAGGACTGGGTTCGAATCGCATTGGGAAAGTTCTCACTGGAATTTGAACCTGCGACCTTAGAGGTGAAAAGCAAGTGCGCTAACCACTTCGCTACCGAAGCTCCGTTTTTCTAAACTGTTGTAAAGATAAAATAATCCAGGCTAAGTATGTAATTAGGTAAGCCATAGCCTATCGAAGCGAAGATGGCTGTGAAAGTGGGCGTGGAAACATATTATGTTATTTTTATAATGTTTTGCTATCACGTGATCGTAAACCTGCATGAAAAACATGATATAAGTTTTCACAAAGTGTTCCATATTGAATTGCTTTGTTTTATTCCATTGAGAAATGCTATGCCAGGCGAAAATTGCAGCTTGTACGGATGTTCCAATAGCAGAAAGAATCCAAAAATCTTCGGAAAAGCTTTTCATTGGTCAATCTCGTAAACGGAAATAATTACGTAACTCAAATGTCAACAATAATTTTGCTCGCATATCGAATAGCGATAGCCGTATATTTCTCATAAAATATGCCTGTTAATGCTTTGGAGGAAACTCTTTCATATATTTCAAGTATTTAAGCTTCGAAATTCAGTTGAAACCTGAACAGAGAAAGTCTATTATTAATTTGCTACGTGGTGAAGACGCCGGTTATCGCGATTCTTCCTACGCGATGCGGAAAAGTTTGATCTTTCAAATTCAGTTATATATTTATATCGGCAAATTAAAGCTTGCTATATGCTATTTTAATAGCTTTGATGCCAGCACGAGCAGGGATTGAATATTTCTTATAGTTGTCTTGTTATTTGTCGTGACATTACTTGGCATTGCAGCTATGAAGTTTGACGATGATTTTAAGAATAACATTTCAAAACACGCTCAACTGTTATTTGGTTCAGGAGCCTTTTAAAGGATAAAAGCTCTGTGTTGGGACTGTCGTCTAAAAACCTTAAAAAGTCATTAATAATTCATGAGGAAAACGCAAAGAAAAATCATAAACGTGTCGTATCTTTATATGTTACATGGTAGGTTTGCTGAATAATTAGGCCAAACACCGTCACACTAGGTCTTTATTTTCTTTGTCTTGGCCTTTTGTTTTCTAAACGGCACTAATGACGATTTGGCCTAATTATTCATCTAACTTACCAACCCTGCTTGTTTTATATAAATTTTAACTATGATTTTCTCGAGATACACAACGATATTTTTGAAAGTTACTTCGCCAATGTACTTACTAGAATTAAAACATTCGCAGTGTGTGTTTTATCAGACCATCTTTATTTCTGATAAAACACTGCTGCACATGTTTTAAATAGTACATAAAATCTCTGCAAATCTCCCTAGTTGCCGAGCAAAAAGCATCCATGACGCTAAATATAAATCTCGACTATGATCGGCTAATGGGCGAAGTTGCTAATTACAAAACGTCAATCATCCTTAATGGGCGAAAACTAAATTGTCATAGCCATTTGGGCAGGCGTTTCCTCAAACGACGCCCTTTCTTCTCCCGCACGCACTAAGCGCCTGCTATATGCAGGCTATGCTTAATGCTCGTTCTATTTTTGCAAATTTCGAGCTTCGAAGAAAGTTTCTCCAGTATTAAGGTAAGTTGTTTTGAGTTTTTAGAGTATATACAGTCTAATGTATCCAATTGGCGAGATGCCGAAAGAAATAACGCAAATTACTTTTATATATTGTATTTCACTCACGACTCATTCACTGAGTAAACACGAAATATTATCAACAGGGATATTCTATTTAAGTGTTTTTTTTATGATTTTTATGAAGTTATGGCATGAATATATTCAGACCAAAATATTGGCGTGAAAATATTCAGACCAAAATTTTGGCGTGAAAATATTCAGACCAAAGTTTTAGCGTGAAAATAATCCGACCAAAATTATGGCATGAATATATTCAGACCAAAATATTGGCGTGCAAATATTCAGACCAACATTTTGGCGTGAGAATATCCAGACCAAAAATTATTGGCGTGAAAATATTCGGACCAAAATTTTGGCGTGAAAATATTCAGACCAAAGTTTTAGCGTGAAAATAATCCGACCAAAATTATGGCATGAATATATTCAGACCAAAATATTGGCGTGAAAATATTCAGACCAACATTTTGGCGTGAGAATATCCAGACCAAAAAATATTGGCGTGAAAATAATCAGACCAAAATTTTGGCGTGAAAATATTCAGACCAAAATTTTGGTGTGACAATATCCAGACCAGAAAATATTGGCGTGAAAATATTCAGACCAAAATTTTGGCGTGAAAATATTCAGCCTAAAATATGAAGTGAAAATATTCAGACCAAAATTTTGCCAAAATTTTGTCCTTAAATTTAGACTATTCGTTCACCAACAATGCGAAATGTTTAAGGAAATTTAATCGAGTGTCTGAGTCTGAGGAATTGTTTATCGATAACCTAAGGAATGTTTGGCAAATGGGAAGTGAGAGAACTTGTTTACCAAATCAATTTCCCGCCTTTCCCCGCCAGATTCGATAAAAGAAACTAAAGAACGAAAGTTGATATTTGGTATATTTGTCATAGATATCTCATATACACTAGATAGCGCATCCCTATGAAGGGTGATTACCGCCAAAATTCAATATGCCATTTTGACATTCAATTTGACCCAATTATACAGTTCTATTCGGCAAAATCGTATTCGGCTGTTTCGTATTCGGCTGTTTTGTATTCGGCTGTTTCGTATTCGGCTGTTTTGTATTCGGCTGTTTCGTATTCGGCTGTTTCGTATTCGGCTGTTTCGTATTCGGCTGTTTTGTATTCGGCTGTTTCGTATTCGGCTGTTTCGTATTCGGCTGTTTTGTATTCGGCTGTTTCGTATTCGGCTGTTTTGTATTCGGCTGTTTTGTATTCGGCTGTTTTGTATTCGGCTGTTTTGTATTCGGCTGTTTTGTTTCTACTTTTCGAGCCTGCATTATGATACCGGATGATACAGTGGTGATCTGCCATTTGGATGATACACTTCATGTAGTCGCTGATATAGTCAATGTGCAAATCATATTTTGAAATTGTTTCGAAAGCATGGCGAACGTTAATAGAGCATTTAATTTATTAAGAGAAGCAACTATTCTTTTGTCCGAAAGATCAGAGGATGCAGCAAACACTGAAAATGACCAACAGCAAAGAAGAACCCCGGAAACATCAAACAATCTCTCCAATCAACCGAATGAATCAGCGACCGTGTCCTGTCCTACTACTTCTAGAACACAATCTACTCATTACACTGAATCTATCAATACTGCTGGCGCCTCGTCTTTCCAATCTACAAGCGCTACTACTTCGACTCCTATAAGAAGCGGGCAGAATGTTCTAAACCATTTTAGGACATTATTTAGTCCGTACGCGCGACCATCTCCACTGTGTTCGAATAGAGGCAGCACACATGCGTCTTCAGTTTCTGCACGAGGTCTGTCACGAAGGCCTGCAGCGAGAACGAAAAAGCCCAGATATGAGAGTTGGACACACGAGATGTTTTGCTTGTCAAGAGCGTCAGAAGAACAAGTGCCAAATCGTGAGGAAAAAGAACTCCTTCAGCGTGCTGGGCTAGGACGACTCAAAATAAAATTTAATGCGACGGGAAGCACGCAAACATTTAAAGAAGAGCTGGAGAACACATTTCCTAAACTTATGTGTGGTGGGGGGTTTGAATTACTGAAGCGCCTTCCTGGAAACAATCTTGAAGTAATCCCGCCCCCAGCTATAGGGTATAGTGTTGAGCATTTAAAAAAATGTGGAATTGGCCAGTCCATGCTGTTTATAAGACCAATCCAATCTGATCTAGATGTATCTCCTGAGACTGACACCGACCTGAGAAATACACCTGAGGTAAGAACAAATACTGTGACAAAATTTAAATGAAGTAGGAGCTAGTGTTGTACAAGAGACAACTAAATATATATATCAGTCAATGGTCAATCACAGAAATAGCTCATATATCTTTCCACAATTACTACATATTTGACACATATTTCAGTGAATATAACTGAAATATATATTTTTAAAAACACTACAATATACATTTTATTTTTTTATTTGTGTGATGTAGGATGCAGAGAATGCTCCCAAAGTTGCATGTTTACAATGTGGTCGATGTGTTCCTATTACCTTAATTAGGAATCATCATGATGAATGTGTAAGGTATATAAATAATTGAAAATGAATGCTGTTGAACTCATTGTCACAATATGTACTTTATAATCACTATTACTGCCTCATAGGGCCATTCCATTTAATAAACACCCCTCCCCCCCTATGTATGAGGTCAATAAAATTTGAACCCCTAATAAAAAAAAATCATAAGTGCCAACAACCCCCAAGAAATTAAGAAATTTTTGCATTACCCCTCAGAAAATCGCAAAGATCAAAGGATGCCGGTGCACACAACCCCTCGGAAACAGCTTTTTCACCCCCCCCCGGAAATTCTCGTCCATAGGGGGGGGGGTGTATATTAAATGAATGGCCCATAATTGTACCCATTATTGATTGGCAAATTCTGCATAATTATTTATCTGTGAAATGTTTATATTTTTTAATACCAAGAGCTGTGAATGCACCAACATCTGAGGCTGCATCTGTTTCTGAATCAACTGACCAGGATGATTTCACAATGGAAAATGGTGCTAAAAACAACCAGGTCACTTTGGTTAGGAGCCATCAAGCAGAATGTGTTAGGTGAGTGTAAGATTTATCACTGTCTCATTTTTATTATTCTTTGAATGTAACACAATCGATTAAATTGAACCACTTCTTCAACATTAATTTCTTATTTTGTTCATTTAGTTTCATAATTTAAATATAGCAATTTTTGATGTACAGTAAGTGGTATATCCATCTTAACCCATCAAGCAACAATTTGACATTTACCTGTCCAATCCTAACATCGTCCAGGTGCTCATTAACCCATTGAGTCTCATTGCGCCCTGATGCGCCCTACTTTATTATTGTACTCTGTCTAACGCCAGATTATTTTACTCTGTCTAACGCCAGACGATTTTACTCGTCAAGGGGAGAGCGCTGGCGCTTAATAGGTTAACATTTCAACTCCCATGCACATTTGATGCAAAATATTGAAGGGAAGAGTTGCGCATTAATAACAACTGAAGACTATCTGTCCTAACCCCTGCTTAATTAATGGGTTATCGGACTGAGGTCTTTTTTTTTACAAACCGAACCCATAGGGCAAGGTTTGTACAGAAAGAGTGATGTTTGATATTTCTCTGTACATACCAAGCAAGCAAGGTTGATAAAAAGTTATTATTATATGGCATTTACAGTATATGCATTTATACTTGAAACAAACAAGAAATATATGATTTGAAATGCAACTTAGTAGCGTGCAACACATTTGGTCGAAGAAAACAAAAACTAGCAATGTATTCCTTCTTTTACACTAAAGACATTCAGAGATATCTTATTAATAACAGGATAAATTATAATTTTCAAATTTTGAATTAGTTTTTCTGTTTTGTTTCAAAATGCCTGCCTTTGTTTTTATGTAATGGACCGTACAGGAAAATAAATTAACGGCTGAAAGTGCTTCTCAGCCAATCACAATCCTCCATTTCACCGGAAGTGATGCTTGCCATGTAATAATATTAATAATTTATAATGTATTGTTTGGATTTAGAATGCCATCAACTTCAAATGCCAGGAATAATAGCACCAATGTCGATGATGTATGTATACACATGTATTGTGTCGTATCATTGCATTTTTAGATTCTTTGCAATAATTTTACAGTAATGAAAAAAGATGAAAATGCAATGCACTGCCGTATGGCTAGGGAAAAAGAGAAAATGCCCATTCTAATAGTCAAGTAATAATAATAAGGCATAGTGGCATGTGTAGTAAGCAGTGTGTAAGTGGTACATGTACACACAAATGAAAGTGCTATGATATGAAAATTATTTTTCCAGATGCCTGACATCAGAATGTCAATGCACATGCCTCTTCTGAAGCAACTATTTCCAAACAAAGAGGACTCTATATTACAATCAGCTCTACAAGATACTGATTTTGACTTGCAATGTGCTGCAGAAATAGTTTTATCAGGAGGTAAATAGATGCCATTCAGTATAAATATTAATTTATCACCGATAATATATGACATTTAATTAAGTTGAAACTATGGTTTAGTTTTATGAGCTTAGAAAATGCCTGTAACTTCTAGTATACCACACCTAATGAGTAATGGTTGCTCACAGTTTGCATGTCTGCAGATTCATATGCGCCGTCTAGATGCCCAGAGGTCACCGTGTTGTATCGTATGCGCTTGGTAAGAGCACATTCCTGGCAAATACTCTGTTGTATTAATTTAATAATTTTACAGTATGTCTTACCACTGTAATCGAAAAGCAACATGTAATACATATTACATATATATGTAAATTACTTTTAGATACTCGCGATTCACCAGAGTCAAGTGACACTGATACCGAACTACTACTAGATCGTCCTCTTGCTTCGACTCAAGTTAACGTCCTGTTGGAAGATCCACTTAACGTTTTGAACGAGGCTCCTGTTAACCTTTTTGAAGAGGCCACCCTAGGAGATGACACCACACCGCACCAGGCAGTGATGATTTTCAAGCAAAACACGATTGACACAGATGCTCCTCGTCAACTGTTTGTTGTTTGTAGAAATGAAGGTGTTGAACAGCTCAAATTAGACATTTTAGGTGCATACAAGAATCCCAGAACCAACTTGAGAGCAACGCCGAGAGTTCGTTTCGAAGGCGAGGAGGGAGTTGGGGCGGGTCCTATTAGAGAGTTCTTGTATTTAGCAGTTAAGTTGGTGGAAGAAGGCATCGACTTTCCTTCCAAACCCATAATATATTTTGAGGGAGAATATGACCATCGAATTCCCGTTCATAATCAGGCTTTGAGGCAAACGGGGTGTTTTAAAGCAATTGGAAGAATTCTGGGACATTCATTCTTGCACAATGGACCAAGTTTTAGTGGGCTTTCTCCAGCAGTGAAGCATTACTTCTTATACGAGAAAGGCACCATAGAACCTCCACCACTGGAGATAAAGGATGTGCCAGATGTGGAGCTTCGAGCACTGGTGGAGGCAGTAAGTGTAGTAATAAGTACGTTATATATAAGTTGTACATTAGGAAACTTTAGTATAATTAGATAAACAGGAGGTAATTTACCTTTATCTGCCTAAAGTGGTGGGAATATTCTAGTTCGATATTACGTGGTGCCCACAGGACCACATTGTGTCCGAAGACGTTTTTTATAAGGACAACATTTCAACGTCTTTAGAGATGTACGTCATTACTCTACACCAAACGTCTTTACTTCGAACCTTCGCCGCTAACGCTCGCCTGTTCTTTCTCCGTCGCTCCTTAACAGTGGAGTAAGTATGTAAATGGCAATGCGTTTGACCTTAATGTGAGATATTTTATGGAAACGTGTTAAATACAAAATATACTGTAATTAATCGTTATGCAGTATATTTTTGTTTTTATTTAAACATATTTAGAATCATTTTCTCCAAGAGCTGAAGCTCATCGAGGGAGATCACAGGATTTTGTTTATGCATATGCAAATATGTACTTGTGATGTTACAGTTAGTCCTTGTATGTGTTTTATATTTTCTTCGAATTACATTAAAAACGACCAAAAAGTATATTTCGTCTATTTCTGGTAATATCAAGCCTGAAGAAGGGATTTTAAAAACTTGGCAAGCAGAAAATTATTAAAGCTGCTTAGCTGCTGAATAGCTGTAACGGCTTACATCAAACCGAAATTCGACCATGTCGTGTGTTTAATTATTTTGTGTAGATGGTTAATGTGCCCAGCAATGAATCTTTACCAACCGATTTACTGGAAAGTCTATCCCCGTATCTAATTGAGGCTGGCATTGACTTGGAGCTGTCGCACTCCTGTAGGCATATGGTAGTGCAAAACCTCTTCATGTATTTTGTGATTGAGAAAAGGAAGTTGGAGCTCGATGATATATGTACTGGTAAGTTTGTTGGGGCTGAACTCTAAACGCCAAACACGGTCGAGTACAAGGACATAATCAACCAAATCCCGATGGTCAAATTTAGAGTTCCAATACTGAAATTAAATGTTAGGTACAGTGTGCTTGGCAGATGTACAACAGAATTGCAACTGTACAAACCTTCAAGCAATGGTGGTCGTTTATATTACGGCTAAACAATCGGAATTGACCATAACTTCTATTATTTCTCAATGCAAAATTAATAATTGAGAAATCTGAATATACAACAATGTACGTTGTAATACTGAAGTCATCATTGTCATATTACATCAAAAGAAGTTCATTATCACTCCTTTTAATAAGCTGAATCAGCTCATGTAAGAAGCTCATAATACATAATACAGTCGAACCTCTATTTAAACGGCCACCCCCGGGGATCGGCTCTGTGGCCGCTTAATAGAGGTGGCCGTTTAATAGAGGGATAGATTATAGTATTTGTATTGCAAAAATTTCGGGACTTCGATATGTGGCCGTTTAATAGAGGGTGGCCGCCTAATGGAGGGCCGCTTAATAGAGGTTCGACTGTTTTCATAATACATAATATTGCATTTTACAGGTTTGGAGACTGTGGGTTTGAAGTCGTTTCTAGAACGTTACCCTCAGATCATTGGTCAACTTTTTCCAAATGGAAAAGACTGCAAAATATCTGGAAAAGAAATGAAAGAGAAAATTATTTTTAATGATGAAGAAGAAACTGAAGCAAACAAAACAACAAAAAACTTCTTTTTGGATTACATAGACCTGATTGAAAATAGGAATGAAGGTACGTACAGTTCAGGGAACACTACCATTGTAAAAGCGGTGAAGTTACATGTAGCTAACACCTAATTCATTGTTAATTACCTAATTAAATATCAGTTACAAAACATCATAATGGTGTTTACCAATTCTAATTGTTATAACTGTGAAGCATTTTTGTATTTCGAAGCCCACCAAAACAAGTAAGGTTTCAATTAATAAAAATATTCATCAATTGAAACGTTTTTCTCTTGTAGGTGGTGCAGGTTTACTAGATCTGTGCTGCTTCTGGACTGCCACAAATATGTTACCACCTCGGTCAGAGATGCTGAATGTCACATTTGACAAAGAAGGTAACATGGTGTTGCCCATGGCAGAATGCTGCTTTTTAAGTCTGGTTTTGCCTGTAAAACATGCCACTCTTGAAGATTTTACAAGGAATATGGATTTGGCCTTGAAATATGGCTCACATGGGTTCACTTTTTCTTGAAGCTCTTCGAGGAACAGGCCACCAACAGTTTAATGACAGACATTTTAATGTTTTGCCTCCCACATTTGTTGTGTTCAGAAGGGATTTGTTTTTTTTGTTAGATGGTGTATGTTATTAATAGCAATACACTAAATGTTGTTATCGTTTTTGTTGTTTTGAGGTCCCAAAACAATTTTCGAGGTTTTTACTTAATAAGAAATAGCTGACATATAATTGTAACTCGGAACAAACTCTGCATTCACCACCAAACATGAAGCATATATCAATCACACTTGAAGCATGTTTTAGACTGGCCATCATAGCAGCTTATGAATAATGAATAGTACTTTCTGTCAAGACCAATAACTCAAAGGAGAAAGATAGACATATCACCAAATTTGGTACATGTCAGTGAGTTCTACTGTTTTTACATTCTTTCGGTAATAAACTGAAGAGTTTCCAAGTAAATGTCTACCCCATGGTATTGCGAATGCCGAAGAGGGTCTATGATTTCTCTAAGTTCATTCAGCTGTTCCATATTAAGTGGAAAATTGGTATCTGGAACCTCAACATGATTATCGTTGTTCAGGTCGGTAGGAATAGGACCATCCCAATCAACACCGAAGTCATCCATATTTATCTGCAATATATCAAGAAACTTTCATTAGGGGCTGCATCATTTACTGTTCGGAGTACTCCAGATTTTCGGAACACTAATAAATCGAACCAATAATGGTCACATGATTATTCTGACGGTCACATGACTGTTCTGGCTGCCCCTGCTTTTGAGTTGGGGCAGTCAGAACAGGACTTCATGTGACCGTTATTGGTTCGATTCAATTGGTGTTCCGGAAGTCCGGAGTACTCCGAACAGTAAATGAAGCAGCCTCCAGATATGACAGGAATCGCATGAATTACTATTTAGACTCAGGATTAATTAGTAATTAGATTTTTATATTTTTATATTGATTTGACATTTTTAAGTGCATTAACTAAAGTATGTTCTTTGTTTTGTTTGTACATAGCTGTAGAGGACAGTGATTGATCACATGATTAGTGTATATTGTCTATATGTGGTTTTTACTTTATTAGTCTATGTTGAATAAAGGGTGGATTTCAAGTTGTTTTTTTGTATTATATTATTAATGAACAAACTCTAACAATTTCTTGAAAATTTGGTGTCTATAATGTGTATACTCAGCTATGATTTTTTGCTAATATATTAATTATTCTCCAGTTTCCTTTATATTTACAAACCAATGTTGTTTCCTTTATATTTACAAACCAATGTAGAGTCGACCATGTATCAATTAATTTCTCAGATTATAAATAAATATTTTGGGTTAATGAAAACTTGTTATCAGTTATGTAAAGATTAGTTGGTTAATTAATTAATTAGTTGGAATATATAATTGGGTTATTTTACTCCATTGCTTAATTAATAAGCAATACTATTAATTTATTATTACTTCTCAGCACTGTTCTTGATAACACAAGTGTTATTAATTAATCAATATATACATGTACAGAATAATATGACTTGTTGTATTTACTACATTTACCTGTTCTGCAAACTCTCTTGCAACTGTCCCATGAGGGTTCCTATTTCGTATCATGCCATTAATCCAAAGTTGTTCAGGACTTTGATTACCTTCACTGCTAATAGGCCCATTATTGTGACCTGATTTAAAATCTGCTAAGCTCCTATTAATTCTAGGTTGATATACATAATGAAGAGCAGCCAAATGATGTTCATTTGATGCATCTAAGATGCCACATTCCTCCATGAAGTGAAACAACTCGTAGAAAAGGTGAGTACAGCCAGCGAAAAGGTCTCTCCACATCCTTTCAATGCGCTGATTGTGTACACTTCAACCAGTGATATGGCTTCCACGATCAGGGCCTCGACTTGGGTGTGTAAGCATGAACCAGGCAACATCAACATTTTCACCCCCTTTATCGGACCTAACTCGTGAAGGCAAACCAAACTCTCTCACACCATCCATAAAAAGGGTAAAAGCAGCTTTATTGTCAGTGGAGCATCCCAAATACACAACCATGCGAGAATACCCATCGATACCACCGTGAATAACAAATCTCCACCTAAATGAACATAATATGAACCAATTTAGTATACCCTTTCAGTATACCTCAAATTTACGGAAGCCTCAAATTGACAGAAGACCTTTCAAACCGGAATGTGAGCAGTCAAATCCATTCCTCTCTGGCAAAAGTGGGGCACTTGCAATTTGGCTCTCCCTGAGGCAGGGAATATTTCAAAGCTACGTAGTATGTTACCATTGGATTATGCAGTTGTTTTGCCTTGTACCATTTATGTTTTGTAATAACATCTTCTTTCAAAAGGAGAATAAGCTAAGTACTGTACTTTGGTGTGGGGAATCTGCCACTGAATTATGACCTGCTACAGGCAAGCCTGGAAATAATTTTTGAGGACCTGCCTGTCAAAATGACCAGCACCAATGAATTTGTGCCTGTCATGAAACAAAATGTACTGGTCATTGTACCGGTCTGCCAAAAACATAGGATACAGAATATGCAATTGTTAAAATCATTTTATACATGTATATGTACACAAAACAATGTCAATTATGTCTATAATGAATAATGTTATAACGCTGTTTCAAAGACAAAGTACTGAACTACAAGTCTTCAGGCAAAAAACCTACAAAATCACTAGCTTCACTGTCAGTGTCACTGAAAAGTAAAGCAGCTGTCCGGCCAGAACCAGATGAATCTGTACCATCATTAGAAACTTCCATGTCTTCCACATTGTCAGATTCTGAAGCTGGTGGTGCTGGTGTGGTATCAATCACATCATTGATGTCATCAACAGAATCATCAGAATTGGCATCTTTTTCAGACACGTGATAATATTTAACTTTCTTTTTTCTAGCTCTATATTTCTTTCTTCTCTTCTGATTTGGCCGTCTAACTTTCTGACTTTGCCACATCTGAACAACAGGGCTAGCATCAAACGAACCAAGGGGAGGACCTTCCTCCTCAATTCTAAGAACATTTGTTAGCCTCTCTTCGCCTAAAGAACATCTTGCATCACTCTTTGTTCTCTTGAGTTTGGAAAACAGGCGTTCTAGTTTTGCATTGCAAATTGGCACAGAAAACAACAGTTGGACCAAAAGCAAAATGTTCTTCCACTTGGAGGAATACGAGCAGTTAAACAAAAGTCTCCATGTCTTCTTGTAGTTGGCCTTCTCTGACTGAAGAAAGTTTACTGTATGACTTAGCATATCGTGCCACTCTTCAAGAATAGCTTGATTATAGTTGCTTTGACAGAGGCCTTGCTTTAATAAAATAGGACGGAACTTCTCCAAAATGGCAGTAATCATGTTATCTGCAAACTCGACTCCGTCCACTTCTGCTAGTAATTTCCAGTGCTCCGTGTTCAAGATCTTCGCTACAGACTCTAATTCAATGCTACTGGC